AATCCAGATTTTTGCACAGCTTTTGGCTTTTAAAGACTATGGTCTTAAACTTTTGATCAGCTGAAAAAAATCATGCAGTTTTCAGAAAATTCCCTGCTCAAAAGTTCTTGTCTCTTGCACTGATTTCTTCTTTTAACATTGTGAAGTTCTACTTAGAACCTTCTTAAGATCCAATAGTGCAAAATGCAAATTCTTGCACTTTTTTGACTGGTATTAAGATTTTGATCAGGAGTGTTTATATATATATATATATGTTATTTTGTAGAGATTGACTGGAGTCAACTTTGTCTGTTAGCAACAGGTTCTAACAAAACTTTCATAAAGTAAATTTGGGGTGCACGTTTCACTGTTTGGAGTCACTTCGAATCAAGATAATTAACTGACAATTTTATCTTATTGAGCTAAAACTTTATGTGGTGGTAGCTGAGAGTCATCCCTTATACATGCTTGTAGGTTTACCAAAACAGCAGCATTTCTGTCATTTCTCAACCCGAGAAATTCTAAATCTCTGGCATAGAAGGTGGGTGATATGCAATCCAAGAAATATCACAAGCAGGAACAAAACTTTGCTCAGTTTTCYAGGGGGAATATTTCATGAAAGTTCATTGAATTCAAGCTTTATGGCAAATAATTTGCTTCATTTTAATTTCATCGTAAATGTTTCTTAAAACTGTCCTTTTTGATGCATATTTTTGAGTACATGCAGAATTTTACAAAGAGACTGGGGGTCACTTTTCCTAAAGTGCATGAATTCTTGTATGTCTAAGTGCAACAAGAGCAAACAAAACTGTCCCTTTCTTTTAAAAGAGAAACATATAAAAATCAGTACGCTGCTGTTTTTACCTAACTGCATASAACATGTTCACGTTTGCTTTTACGCTTAAATATTTTAAATATTGATTCCATTGAGCAATAATTTAATCAATCAAGTTGACTCTCACCACATTAGAAAGCAATATTTGTGAATAAGTGTCTGGTCCATCCATCCATCCATCCATCCATCCATCCATCAATCCATCCATCCATCCATCCATCCATCCATTATCTTCCGTTTGTTCTGGAGTCAGGTCGTGGGAGCAGCAGCTTGTGCAGGGAGGCTCTCTCCAAGACTTGAGCTCCAAACCACTTCTTCAACAAACAAACTTGTAGCTGTTTGTTCACAAAGTTGTGACTAATTTAAAATAGGCAAACTTTCATTCTGGATGAGCTCATCAAAATATTTCTAGACGGCGTTGACAGCTCGCACGTGTCAAAGTCATTTCTACACATTTGGAATAAGAGTGAGGAAGAAATCCATCCTCCTGCCCGATGTCCGCAGACCTCCTCTTCYATTGATGTGGAGCTCCTGCAGTAATGAGTTCAATCCTCCAGACAGAGAAGATTTGTTCTTGTGTCACTGAGAGGAGCATCCATCTTCCAGTTTAACAACAAACCGCTCCAGTTTGCCCTGGATCAGATGGCGGTAGCTCTGCAGGACCGCTCTCAGACTCAGGGTGCTTTGAGGAACACAAGACAAAGATGGAGGCAGAGCTGGTCCCTGCTGGTCCAAACAGAAAACACAAAGAAAATGATGAGGACAGGAAACATGAAGTTTGGATCATGAGATTTTTTATTTTATTTATTATTTAGCCTTTGACAAATCCCATTAAAATAACAGATCTTTTTTGCAAGAGAAGCCTGCCTGAAGGTAGCCTAATAACATGTATGCACACAGAGAAAACCCACACAAACATGAGGGGAACATGCAAAAGCAGGGACTGAACCAGGACCTTCTTGCTGTGAGGCAGCAGTGCTAACCACTAATCCWTCATGCTGAACCTTTCTTTACTTCTGACATATTCAGCCTTTTAAAAATGATTTGTATATCCAGTCCTCTTAAAATAAATATGTCCAAGTTTGTTTATACCATTTTTTATCTTTAAACTCCAGAAAGTGACAGCTTTTTCTATTACTTTTAAGTTCTTCTATTTGTTTTCAACAGGTGAATTAAAGCAATTTAAATATTAAAAAAAAAAAACGCCAGTCAACTCAAATTACTACAAACAGTTCAGACTAGAATAGAAACTGTTTTCAGAATAGGCAAAATAATAAAATAAAATAAAATCACAAAACGTAATGTTCACAAGAAATCCATCCATGTGACTTTTGAGAAGTTTGGAAACCACGCTCTCCTATTTCCCTCTTATCTAGAGGAAGGAAGGCTTTGAGACACAAAACATGACATCATCTCATCCAGGCTGTGGTTATTCCCGAAAGCCAACAGGTTTACTAGAAGCCAGGATGTCTGCATGGCAGAAGAGGCTGATAACACGTTCAAATCAAATGCATACTAATGAGAGAAAAGCCTCTGAACACGTGTTTGCTCAATATTTATGAATTTTCATCGGCACGAGGCATGTTGTGGTGCGTGACGTGTGAGAGCACAGACCAGTCTGCAGTCATTTTTATAAAATTCAGACCTTCAAATACAAAAGGAAAGTCTTTAAGCCTTTCATGGTTGTTTTTAAAAGCATCCCTTTCAAGTTGATTGCATATAGACTTGTGCTGACCACCAAAAACTGGTGCTTTCTGTGATGTTTGCATGCAGTTAATGACTATTTCTTACACCCAGTTGCAGCTCTGCGAGTATGACCAGGTAGTTCTCAATGTTTTTCTCCAGTCTCTGCAGAAGCAAAGTCCTGCATCCTGCCTGGGTTGTGATCCTTAACGTCTTCACACCTTCATGGAGAAGCGTCAGCGATGCAACTATGTCTGCTTTCCTCTCTTGCTCCTGCAGTTTGCCAAGAACAGAAAAAAGAAGCGTGCAACAAAATGTCTCGCTTAAGACAAACGACTCAAGGAGGAAAGAGAGGGGGGAAAAACAAAACGTGTTTCCTACATGTGATGACATACCGATTTATTTTCCCAAGTTGCCACATGAAGCTCAGTGCAGGGAAGCTGAGCGGGTGTGGAGAGGAGAGTGGAGTCAAAACAGTCACTCTGCGA